ATTTTCTGTTTGTCGTTCAACAGCTGATGCTGTTGATGGCTCATCAAATGAATCTTTTTTTTTTCCAACACTGAATAGCAAACGTGTCCATATACTTTGAACATTAGCTGTAGATTCACTATCACTATTCATTGTTTCTTTCTTTTTCTCGACAACAAGCCTAAATAACGATCGCTGTTTAAACTAGTTATTTGATGTATTTTACTATGGATAACGATGCGACTGTATGGTTAAGGGGATGATTAATACCTAGAAAGCAATTTTGTTGTATTCGTTATTTTTTTTCTTTCTACCTATATTTCTACTTTACCTACAACATTGACGATTTTTTATATCATTACAAAAATCACCACGTTGATCAATCGACCGAAAATATATAACCTTGAAGTAAAAAAATGTTTCACATAACAAATAATATGAAGGACAATAATTAATGTTTGCAAGTGCTTTTTTACAGTTAAGTTATGTATTGAATTCAAATAGTTGAATATTTTCGCTTGAAAGCAAGTTTAAATCGAGGTTTTTCAATTCTTTCATATTGAAATATAAGAATTGAAAGGAAACTGTTTTTCATGATTTTAAATCACATTCTATTTCATTCGTCGAAAATTTTTTTTAATATTCTAATTATTATTTATATTTAATTTTAATACTGTATGATCTATCGAGTGAAACAAAACATAAGCCTTGCCATAGTGCATATGTTCGCTGAATTAAGTAAGGAAAAAAAATCATTGGTTACTTATTATTTAAAAAACTCAAAGGAAAAAAGAACAAATGATAAACAAGGAGAGTAAACAAAAAAGCACTAGACTTTAACCTTATGTCATTAAATCATTCACACGTTATATACGCAAATATATCAGTGACGTAAACAGTAACTGAAAATAGCGTCAAATTTTTATCCTTCACAAGCAGAATATCAACATTGCTTTTGTGTCGCACAATTTATAACAAGTAACTGACAAAGAAGCACATAACTCAACAAGTAATCATGACACAATGATTAGTTTTTTACTTGTTTACTCATCAAAGAAAATAGCGAGAGAAAAAAAACAAATAACAACTTCAACTGATTTAATCTATTATCTTAACGGCTTGATTCGAGAACTTAAATTTCTTTCTATTAGAACTCACCAACTATTCTTTAAGAGCACATTTGTGTTTGTTCAACAATGCTAGTATTGATTATTTACTGGTAACTCTTTTTAAAATTAATATCATTCATTAATGACTTTTCTCAATGCAACGATTTGTCGCTTTAAAAAAAAAAACTATTGATATGGCTAAATGTCACAACAGTTAAATGATACTAATCAATTCTCATATTGAATTGATTAACTTTGTTCATAGATATCAGATTTTGTAATACTTCAAACTATCTGCTATTGTCTTACAGATGTAGTCATTTCAGAAAAATTTTTAAATGACAAAAAAAAGTCATTTATTAGAAATTTTTACACGTTTATTAGACACATATATTCATTATTAACAAGATTTCAATAATGAAAATCATTCTATTAAAAATAAGCTTATGCTATTACTGAATTCTATCCTGTGACGTCTCACTTCAATGATAACTGTTGAAAAGTTTTTCCTTATTAAATATTCAACATTTCCATACCTGTTACAATGATAATGGCTCTTCTACTGTTTTTTTCTATACATGAAAAGAATAAAGTTAATGTTTGATGCTATTTATAAGAGCTCGTCTCGGACAAACCATGGAGAATTTGATTGGAACTATTCTTTCTCATTAGACAATGTCATAAGATAAGATAGTTCTTTCAGCACACTATTGAAAACGATGAAAGATTCTATATGTGGAAAAATTTTTGAAAGATATCAAATAAATGAAATACTTATCAGTGGACATTTATCTATAATTATGTCTTGAAATTAGTCAGTCAACTAATATTCTTTAAGAGCCTTCATAAAACGCTATCTAATCCAAACATGACTTCTATGAGTATCATTATTAGTTTCCTTGCCAATGTGCTAAGTAAACTAGCTGTTTTTGTTTAAATAAAAAAATCTCCATTAACACTTGTATATCTTCACTTAACATCAGATCAATATGACCTACTCATGTTGACAATTTACATTCCTTTTTTGCTTTCATGACACATGAAGAAGATAATATTAAAGCAGTACACAATCCTGGTTCATCACTTGCTATACAATTATTGAATCAATAAAATAAAAACACTCAATCGAAAATCTGAAAAAACAACTCAAATAGAATAATAATGTGACTCTTGGAAAAGTAACAAACTGTTTGTTTTACATATGTAGTTTTTACTGATTCGAATTTTCTTGACAAGATTCAAAATATTTCTAAGAACAACAAAAATGAAGCATCAACAACCAACAGAGAGCTAATGAATTTGTATAGTGCTTTATAAGCGGTATTCAATGGCAACTTCGAATCTTACTATGGATCCGAAAATATTCATATATTTATTTCAGAGCCAGAGTTTTTCTTTTTTTTTTCGTTCAAGCCACTGTTTAATTTTTGATTAAAGTTCAATTTTATACTTAATATAGTCGAAACTGAAAGATTTGTCGTAATGTGTATGTAGAATTTCTACAAACAAAGTACATAATGTCAAAGTAAAGTTGAATATGCATTGAATTATATACCACCTCGTATTTCATTCATAATGAAAGACGGATATAAAGTAGATGGTTGGTTAGATTTTATGATTCAATCAAGAATATACATAGATTGTGATCGAATTTATCTTAATACAGTTGATGAAAAGTTGATTATAGCACTTACTCATTGTCGCCAACAATCTCTTCCATTTAAATCAATCAATCAGAGTCAGTCAGCATGAAAAAACAAATGAAATAATTTCAAATAAACTTGAAATATCTACAAACTCATGATTATAATGTACTTTCTGTGTATATGAAACGAAAAATTAATGTTAAATTTTATTAGAAAAAATGTATATGAATGAACAGAATCTGAAGTATTAGATTTACTTTTTTACTGAAAATTTAATTAAATTGATGTCCTCATATGAAACAACAGATAGTCAGCAGTTGTACAATTATATAGAATGTGTAAATCTCAATTTTTTTGAGTACTATAAAAAAATGACAGAATATTACTTTTCTATTACTAGCAGCAGTTTATCCCCCGACTTGGTTCCATTCGATGATTCTTCAGTTCGGCCCTTACAGTACCAATTACAATAACTCGTAATTACATTTCATATAAAAGAGAAAGACAAGAAAAATCCCAAAGGTACCAACATTTATAATGCAAAAAAATTAAGTTGTTTGATTGGAGTTTTTAACAAATTTCATTTTCTTATGGCTTTGTTGTGTCAAATTACTATTTGTAAACGTTGATAGTTAAGTGCAAATGCACTACAATATGTAATTGTAAGCTACATGTTGCTTCTTATTCAATTTTCATATTCAATTTGTGTGTAAGAATCTGTTCTTTAAATGATTAATCATGAAGATCTTTGAAGGCTTATGATTTCTATGTAATTAGATGAATCTTGACTGAAATGAGAGTCACCCACAACGGACCATATTGAGAACGAATCTAAGTAAGAAATCATCAAATAAAATTATTGCTCCTGATCACCTCGAAAAATGTAACTGAACACTATGTTATGCACTGTCATATGTCGTATAATTTTGTGATCACTTCGAACGTTGCTTGTATTTAAGAGTCGAGCGCAAGTGAACGTTATGATGTGCAATTTCAACGGAACACCATAGTTAAACCATAACATACACATTGTCTAACATATCGTCGATTAGTTTTGAATCGAATCAAAGAAAAAGCTGGTCACTCCCTTCAACATATATCTCATATTTATTCCTTTATACGATTGAATATCATGTCTTCGCTTTAAAAATATCAAGTAGTCATTTATCATTTACCTTATTTATAGATATTTCTCAAGGCTTTATATAAGTGTGTCAATAAATTATTTTTTCGAAGATTTCATCGGCCTTTTTTAATAACCCACGAAACCACGATCTATAGTTTAATTAAAAATGTCAATAACCAAAAGAAACCGAAAAGACATCATTTACAGTAATGTATTAAGGTTATATTATTATATTCTTGTACTATTCCATCGTTCTTTTATCTTTTCTCATTTTTTTGTGTCTTTTTTTCTCATTATGCATGTTTATTGTGTCATTCGAAATAGATTACAATAAATTTATGAGTCAAATACAGTTAGCAAAAACCACTTAGCGCAACATCCATTACATTCAAACAAAAACACGTGATAAAGTGCTTCAAATCGAGCATGAACCATACCTTTTTTTTTAATATTTTACCCTAATGAATATGATGTGTATGAAATTATGACCAATGGTGTGGCCGATCAAATCGTTTTCTAAAGCATGACCATATTTCGAGGGTTATCTTTCATTTATATCGTGAGCATATTATTTTACCTTGCATTTTTTTAGTACAAACATTTTTCATCTCTGTTAAAAATCTCTGATAAATAAAGCACTATTCGATGTGTTCTTTTGCTTTCGAATATACAAAAAAAATAATTTACGAGTTGCATTTGACATTTGGGTTGCTTCATTAGTTTCGCCTAAATAGTTTTGTGTTTTTATATAGTGTACAATACTCATCAACACAATTTGATCGATGCAAACCTATATATTTTATTAAAAATAAAATGGCCTTCATTGATATCTAAATATAGCTACTTTAAAAACAAAATTAAGTTTTATTTTCATATTTTCATATACCAAAAAGTATTAATTATCGATTCCTTTTCTCGTTGCATACAATCACTCTCAAAATAATTATTACTATTTAAGTTAACTAACAACATTCATACAAAATATTACTTGACAACTTAATACAAATTCACTTAACTTCAAGTAAAGTAAGAAATTTATACTCATATTGAAAAAAAGATACTAGCACTTGTTTGATTATTACATTCGAATAAACATCTCATTTATAAGTATATTTAATATATTTCAAAGATAAAAGTATAATGGATCAATTTTATACGGCTCATAAAAAGCGACAAGAATTTTCTCCTCGTTACCATCAACCATATGGATTGAACTTAATGAAGCCTTCGCAACAATTAAATAGTCCACCATATTCATCATTATCTGCACATGAGACTAGTTTTCATAGTTCTATCATAAATAAAGATCCAAAAACAATATCTAATGCTGAATTGAAAAATTTACTTGACCAACATCCAAAGAAACTTAAAAAAATGCGTCGTAAAAATCCGCAACAACAATTACTCATTCTTATAGATTTCATTTCGACACTTTGTCGTGTTCCAAAATCAACATTATTATCTGTTGCACAAAATAAATTTTTTACTTTACTTCAAATGCCATTTACTGATTTGCTTCAACGATGGCGTCATTCTTCTTCACTAACGGAGAACGAAATTTATATGTTTCGTTCAATAGTTAAATTGGTAAAACGATTCATCAAAGCTACGGATGCCAACGAAGTACTACCATCATGGTTGTTAGATTCGATGTTTCTAAATATAATTGCCGATTGTCTTACAAATATAGCCACATCAGAAAAATTTCTCTATGATACAAATAATCGCCTGTTAAAATACTTCACACGTTTAATTGAAACATATATACTTTATCAAGAATATTTCGACGATGAAAATCATTCTGATCAAGACACATTTGTACTCTTACTAGATCCTATTCTACAATGTCTCACTTCATCTCATTATATTAATGCTTTTACAAATATATCTGAAGATAAAAAATCAATGACAACTATTGAAAAATTTATACTTCTTAAATGTCCATCATTTCTCATTTCATACAATGGTAACTATGCTTACTATTTTTTTGAGGAAAAGTACTTATGATAATCAATTTTGTTTTTCGAGTAGAAATTGTTTATTAGGGTAAGCATTTTTTTAACATCAAATTTATTATGAATGAAAATGAGTATGAGCGTGGATGCTGAAGAGGTTTTCTGTTCACTCACGTTCATACTCAGACTATTGGAGATCCTTTTGTAGTTAGACAATTTTGATGATCCAGACACATTTTATTTCTTGTTGGGTGCTTCTAGATTGTTCACACACATCATCACGCACATTTAGAAACTTTATTTTCAGCGATCAAACAGATTAATGTATGTAAAATTAATTAGTAAATTGAGCATGTGTATCTGTAGAGAAACTGCATGTTCACTGAAAAATATGGTTCATCTCTAGATCGTTGATACCCTATGTATTAATTGGTCTAACTGACCGAGTACATTAAAGAATGTGGGGATCGTGATATTGCTGATCTGAAGAAGTACCAAAATATGGTTTCCTTGATTACTGTCGTTATATATTAACAGTGTTTCATAAGTAACGATTCCATTTTTACGGATTTTACTCCCTAAGTTGAGGTCGTTACTTATGAAACACCCTTTATATATATATTTATTTATTGTTTACTCTATACATTATATTTGGTTTGTTATTCAGGCAAACCTTACTCTTAATTGATTACTCTTATTGACAGTGAAGAACACAACTGAGTGTGAGTGTGAGGGTGACGGTATCGAAGTGTGTCAAGGTGAGATTGTTGTCGACTTCGAGCAGCGTCTACACTTTATTGGGAAATAGTAGTGTGAATTAAATGTTGAAAAAAGTTGGTAATCAGAAATATTGTCATCCATTTTTTTTTCTATACATGAGACGAATAAATTTTTTGTTCGATTCTATCCATAGGGTCTCGTCTGGAACAAACGATGGAGAATTTACTTTCAACTATGCTACCTCAATATGTAACATTATTAGATAAGATAGTTCCTACAGCACACAATTGGAAACGGGCAATGATTCGATCTGTTCAATATTTATTAAAAACTATCAATCATGGAGCCAATCATTATCAAATAAATGCAAAACTTGTTAGTAAACATTTATCATTAATTGATCATGTATTAAAATTGCTGGATGAACCAATATTTTATAATAATCTACAAGGATCATTATCGAATTTAGAAACGAATTTTATAAATACAGCCATTAGTTTTCTTGTAAACATGATCAGTGAACCAGCTATACTTGCTCAAATAAAAGAATCTCAAGTAACACCTGTATTTCTTCGCTTAACATCATGTCAATATCAACCATTAGTACTCAATATTTACAATCTTATAGCTGATACGACACGTGAAGAAGACATCAAACAAATGCATAAACCTGGTCAACTACTTGAAAACATTATTAATTCACTAAAAACTACATTAGATGAATCGTCTAATGATACAAGTCACCAAGAGCAATTATTCGAAACTTTAAAAGGTAATTAGTTTTATACATATCTCTCTCATATGAACTTTCATTTAGAAGATGATTGCGTGCAATGTCATTAGACATGCTGACAAACTACTCGTTTATTGACCTGGATTCTACTCTTAAAATCATTGAATTAAGATTGTCTCTCTTTATGTTCCCTAATTTGAAGTATTCTTGACGTCAAAATATGCATCTCGATATTTTTTGAATATCTCAAGAACACAAGCAGCTATAAACCTGCAGTTTTCACCATTCGAAAGACAAATATGAGAAGAGGTGAAACTTTGCTGACTTGTTTGAACTATGTGTTGGTCAAGCTGAGTAGTTTTTGCTGTAGACTGATATCGGTGTATGCAAGACTGATCTTTCTAGCTTATTTCATTTTGAAGCTATAAGCGTTTTATGGAAAGCCTTGAAATTGACCACCTGTTCACTAGTCACTCTAAATTGTTTTGAGCTTGGTATATTTTTCTACACTGAGTCCAATAGTGGTATTGTCTAGTTTCAATATGGTCTTGCGTTTCTAGATTATGATTTTTGTAATTCATTCTATTGAAAACTTTTAACATTAGAGGGAGTATTTTCAAGATCTGTCTTTCTGATGTTAGATCATTTCAAAACTAAATGCAAAGATCACCATTAGGTTCGACGTAGACGAATACTATAAAGTCAACATAGCCTAGAATGACCATTGATCAGTTACTTGATTGCAAGTATTTCAAAAAACCTATTATTATTTCAGAATAGAATAAACTAGAAAAAGTAATTTTGTATAGATCGACAGAAAAATTTCTTCGCTATCAGTTCTCTAAATTAGAACTCATTTTTAGTCAAGAAAGAATTTTCGAGCAGCTCCGATCAAAGTCTACAGCAAAAGCTCAGCAGGTTAACCAATATATAGTTCAAACAACTCAGCAAAGTTTCAAGTCGACTATATGTCTCTTTCGCATGGTAAAAGTTGCAAGTTTCTAACTACTTTCGTTCTTAAGATATTCACAAAAACATCGAGATACCATTATACTATGGTGTCAAGTATAGTACAATGAATACAAATACCACACACATATAGCGCATGCAACTATTTCAAAAGAAATATTCTTTTCTTTTCTTTGTTTGAATATCAATCACAAAGAGATCATAATAATACTTAGATCAATTATTTTTGCTTGATGGATGTAAAGCTAGTATTGCTGTTTTTCCATCATTCGAACAATGATATCAAATCTTATAGTGTCATTTAGGTCTTGTTCAACATGATCAAATGAAAGATGAAATTATAAAACAAAATGCAATTCCATTTCTACTCGAATGTACTAACAAGTTAACTGATAAATCAAATATATTAATATTTGAAATTTTATGGTCTTTGACATTTCGTGAAGAAGGTGCACTTGCTCTACGTTCCAATCGCAATTTTCTTAATAAGATTCAAACTATTTCTCAGGATAGTAATAATGAACCATTGAAAAAAGCTGTTGATGGACTTGTTTGGAAACTTGTACGAGGTATTTAATATAAATTTTAATATAGACATATCAATTAAAATGTCTTTATATTTATGCACATATCTTAGAACCTGAAAATTTGGAGAGAATAGCAAAACGACAAGCAGAAGAACAAAATAATACAAATCAATGGGTGAAAACAATAACTGAAGAAATTATAAATAGTGCTGGTGAAAAACAACTTGTGACAAGAACAATACAATCAGCAAATACTTCTGATGAACGAATATTTCAATATGATATGATGATTTCGTACTGTCATGCTGATAAAGACTTAATTTATAAAATACATAAATTTCTTGTTGATCAAGGTTTTAAAATATGGATTGATTTGAATAATATGTATGGACCAGGTAAAATAGTTCCCATTATTCTAATCGAATTCATTCTATCTTAATTTTAAGCTATGAATGCTATGGCTGATGCTGTTGAAAATTCAGAATTTATCATTTTGTGTATGTCAGATTCGTATAAACGAAGTACATATTGTCAAGCTGAAGCTGAATATGCATTCAATTGTAAACGACGGCTTCTTCCATTAATAGTACGAGAAGGATATAGACCAGATGGTTGGTTAGGATTTATGATTGGATCAAGAATATACGTTGATTTTGGTCGATTTGATTTTGATACAGCGTGTGAAAAGTTAATTACAGAAATTAGTCATCAACGTAAACAACCTCTTCCATCAAAATCAGTCCAAGTGAGTCAGCATGAAAAACCAACGGAAGTAATTTCTGATAAACTCAAAACATCAATCACTCATGATCATGATGTAGTTCCTATGGATATAAATCGAAAACCAGCGTCAAATTTTATTAAAAAATATGTAAATGACTGGACAGATTCTGATGTATTAGATTTTCTTTTTACTGAAAATTTAACTGAATTGATGCCGATATGTAAAGCAATGGATGGTCCAGCAATTATACAACTGTATGGAATGTGTAAATCTCAAAGTAGTCAAACATTTATTCTTCTTGATGATGAGTTGAAATCGACATATAAAAAGAAACTACATATTACAGTTTTTACCCGATTTTTAAGTGCTATGGAAAAACGACTTACTACACGTCCTCCAACATCATTGCGAATAGTAGAAGAACCGTTTGAAATAACATATACTACTCCACATAAATATATTTCATATACTCCTAATACATCAATAGTTAATAATGGTTCATCTCAATATGACTCTAACTCTGATCAACAATATTCCGACCAATTATATTCTGATCGACCATATGATCTTACAATTACTTCTAATGCTTCAAGTTTGCAGCTATTAAAAGCAGTAGAACAGTATGGTCCAAACTTGAAGAAACTGTTATCTATTTGAATATGAATCTAATGAGGAAACCTCCTCAGGTATCAAATGGTTTTTCAACCGAGACGACGTCTATTTATTGAGCACTAGTAAATAATCGAAACGTTTAAAATGGTTTGGTTTTTTGAGCCTTCATTCGTGAGATATTGAAAGTCGACTGAGTTTTTCAACAAAAAGCTGTAGTCATCCTCAAGATACTTGACAAATTAATGTTAGAGTTTTCGGTTTCAAACTTTTCATGAAGTGAATTCTCGATGAGATTAGTTCATTGAGCAAGTTGTAACTTTTCTAGTAGCTCCTATTGTGAGATATGGGCTATTGGAAACTCTCTTATGTAGTGTCCTGCATCCGGGTTGAGCATACAGCACCTGACACCGGCAATGTATGAGATCTCGACGTTTCCAAATATTTTTACTTTACAAACGACTATATAAATAAAAGCATAGGAAAACCGGTTCGATTATGATCGAGCAATTTGTTGCACTTGAGAACAGGTCACAAAAGTTAAAAGAAATATTGTTCTACTAAGAGACTTCATTTTTAATGCAAATTTATGTACATATAATGAAGAACTATATGATGAAGTAATTGAATACATCTAGAGAACAATGAGTTAACTAGAAGGTGAACATGTTTTATCTTAATGGAGAAAATATTTATGTATGTGCCGACAGTAATGATGTTTCATAACAGCAATGCGTTTCATTCGAACATCATCATCAGATACAAGCGAACGTATAATAAGCGAAATCGATCGGATTTTAGAAGCAGAAATATACTAAGTGAGTCCTGAATCAATATACGTCTTCATATAAAGTAAAAGTTTGAAAATTTTACTATGACTATGAGAGTATCTTTCGGATTTTGATTAACTTCGGTCCAGATCCGAGTGCTGAAACCGTACTTGTGCAAAAAAAAACTACTCTTATATGTAAAAGCAAAGTTTGTTCATATATTTACATCTTCAGAAAGGAAATACTAGAAAAGCTAAAACTTGTACAATCAATTAATCTCTTCAAACACTTTACTGATGCAATGTTTGAAGTCAAAAATCGAAAGTCAATTTTTCAAGTGATCAGAAACTGGCTACAGCTTTTTATTGGAAAATTCACTAAAATTTCAATATATGAAGAATGAAGACTCTGAAAAACCAAACCATTCGAGCCTTTTATATCACTCACAAGTACTCATCGAATGAACATCATCTTGATCGAAAAGTTTTTTGACACTTGGAGAGGTTTCCTCATCAATCTAATTTTAAACGAAAGTTTTTTTTAATATCACATTTTTAAAACAAGCTGGCGATGATTTTTGCGTTATCTTTATAAAATATCTTTTTTTTCTAATTGTCAAAGTTTTTCAACAATAAAGAGTTTGTATTGTGATTTAGTTTATCATCATATTTCTGAAAAATAAAATAAATAAATTTCATCATTGAAAAAAGTCAATATGATATATGCTTTGAACTTTTCTTTGCTTTTAACAAACTATACATGAAAATCTTGCATTTTATTGTGATTCTTTTCCGATGTATTAAACTTATAATTACAATATCTAATATGTTCTATTAATAGTAGCAATAATAAATAGAAGAAAAGCTTATTTGTCATGCAATGTTGCCTCTGTTCTTTTCTTTTTTACCTGCACATGTGATTGACACTGTCTATCATTATTAACATAATCATATTGATGTGAACTTCATGAAAAAAAAGTCTAATCCCTAATTGATATCTCTTACTACTAATCAAAATAAAAAAATTCAATTTGTTTGTTCCTGAGAAATCACTTTTTCTCCTCAGTCATTGATACAACATGCATTACTCAACACAAAATTATCAATTATTCTATTGTGTTCTTGTTGACATCGAATGAATTACACCTTGAAAGTTGGTGATTACGAACATAATCCTTTTCTGCTTTATTTACACCTCGTTTCGCTTCAAAGGGTTTGTTTTTCGTGTTGTCGTTCTTATTTTTCATCTTCTCTATAAAAATATGTGAAAAAGTGATAAACAAGACAAGGACCGTGTGAAACAAAAGCGACTCAGTACAATTCAGCTTATTGTTTGATAGTGATGTCCTTGAATATATCAACCAGTTATCATTCACATTTTTCACATACCAACCAATCACAAGTTTGTTTTCATTATTATTTAAATCCATTACCATCATATGAAGTATCACAATCGTTTATTATTTCCAACGAACAGGTCCCATCAAATCAAAAGATAAATACACCTTTACATGATGAAAATCAATGGTCTCGATCGAAAATTATCACACAACACCCATACAATGACATAAATTCTACTCAAACATTGCCAATATTGTATGATGATTACAAACACGTAAAAACCCATCGACATAAATTACGGAAACATCATAAACATCAACATGTCATAAAGAAACAATCGTTAAAACCCTCAGTATTGACTTCTCAACGTTCCGACACTGTTAATGAAAACCAACAATCTGAATTTCTTTCTTCAATCAAGCAATATTGTTATATTTTACGAGACCAATCCGATATCATCTCTGACGAAGAACTAACTGATCTACTGACAAAACTTACACTTGCACTGAAAAATTCTTATAATAATGACCAACAACAATGGTTCAACTTTGTTGAAATTCTTGATGCACTTATATGTGTTCGTCCATCAATATTAGCATCTGTTTCACAGAATAAGTTTTTTTCTGTACTTCAAGTATCCTTCATTGATATACTTCGTCGATGGTGTCATCTCTCATCTCTACCAGATCTCGAATCTTTTATGTTTCGTTCTACGACTAAAATAATAAGTATAGTAATCAATAATATTCAAAACATTAATTATCTTCCGTCATGGATATCTGATTTTACCTTGCTTGAAACGATTGCTAATTGTCTTATTGATATAGCCATTTCAGCAAAGTTTCTCGACGATAAAAATACTCGTCAATTAAAAATTTTCACATATTTAATTCAAGCATACACTGATTATCAACATTTAAATGATAAAAATCATTCAAATAAAGATATGTTTTTGCTATTAATTGATCCTATAGTACAATGTCTCGCTTCATCTCATTATCTTACAACTTTTACAACTATGTCACAAGAAGAAAAATCAATGACAACTATTGAAGAGTTTTTCCTGCTTAAATGTCCGTCATTTCTCACTTCATACAATGGTAACGGCTCATTTACTATTTTTTTCTAAACACATAAAAAAATAGAGTTTTTCTTTGATATTATTTATAGGGTCTCGCCTCGAACAAATTATCGAAAATCTACTTTCAGTTATGCTACCACAATATATAACATTATTAGATAAGATAGTTCCTACAGTGCACAATTGGAACCAATCAACAATTGAAGCTGTCAATCAACTATTACAAATAATCAATCATGGAGCAAGTCAATTTCAAATAAATGCAAAACTTGTTAGTAAACATTTATCATTAATTGATCATGTATTAAAATTGCTCGATGAACCAATATTTTATAATAATCTACAAGGATCATTATCGAATTTAGAAACGAATTTTATGAATACAGCCATTAGTTTTCTTGTAAACATGATCAGTGAACCAGCTATACTTGCTCAAATAAAAGAATCTTCAGTAACACCTGTATTTCTTCGTTTAACATCATGTCAACACGAATCATTAGTACTCAATGTTTATACTCTTCTTGCATACACAACATATGAAGAAGATATTAAAGCGATGCATAATCCTGGTCGATTACTTGCTACAATTATTGCATCACTAAAAACAACACTCAATCGAAAACCTGAAAAGAGAACTGAAATAGAACAGTTACTTGAAACTTTGAAAGGTAAGAAACATTTTTTTTATGCTGTTTCTTTTCATTTAGATTATTTTGTAAGTAAAATTGATTAAGATGAAGTATGGTTTTTTTGTGAACAATTGTTTTTCAGACATGTTTTTCTTGATCAGAAGAATGAAATAAACTGGTTCACATTTTTGCCGAGAAAAAATTTCTAAAATATTCTTTTTTTTTGTCAGGTCTAGTTCAACATGATCAAATAAAAGATGAAATTATAAAACAAAATGCACTTCCATTTCTTCTCGAATGTACGAATCAATTAACCAGAAGAGCATTGATATTAATATTTGAAATTTTATGGTGTTTAACATTCATCGAAGAAATCGCTCGTGCTCTACGTGCTGATTCGAATTTTCTTGACAAAATTCAAACTATATCGAAGGACAACAACAATGAACCATTGAAAAAAGCAATTGATGGACTCGTTTGGAAACTTATACAAGGTATATCATATTTCTCTTTAATATTTGACATAGATATATTTATATGCATAAATATTGTAGAACCAGTATTCTTAGAAAAGGTAGAAAAACAAGAAGAAGAACAGAAAGCGCATGTAAATGTAATAAATACAAAAACAAAAGTACAACTAGGGTCAGATAAAAAAGGACAAGTTCGAACAACAAAACAGCGCAGTGCAACGCCAACTGAACGTTCATATCAATATGATATTATGATCTCATATTGTCATGTTGATAAAGAACTAACTTATAAAATACAGCAATATCTTGTTAATCAAAATTTTAAAGTATGGATTGATTTGAATAATATGTATGGACCAGGTAAGACACGGATAAATAAGCTGAATAAATTAGTTTTGAATTCCTTTTCGTGTTTAGCAATGAGTGCTATGGCTGATGCTGTTGAAAATACAGAATTTGTCATTTTGTGTATGTCAGATTCGTATAAACAAAGTACATATTGTCAAGCTGAAGCTGAATATGCATTTAAATGTAAACGACGTCTTCTTCCGTTAGTCATGAGACAAGGTTATAAACCAGATGGTTGGTTAGGATTTATGATTGGATCAAGAATATATATAGATTTTGGTCGATATGATTTCGATACAGCATGTGAGAAATTAATGACAGAAATTAATTTACAAAGACAACAGGCTGTGCCAGCTGTAATGATCGATCCATCAGATCATGAAAAACCGGCAGAAAAAATATCGACTGCAATTAAACTTGTTCAAGAAAATAAGAAACGATCACCTGAAATTATGCCTAAAAATTCGGCTGTAAATAAAGATGCGGTATCATCAACATTCAAAGCTCGAAAATCAACACTTAATTTTATTCGAAAGCCAATTAATGAATGGACCGAACTGGATGTATTAGATTTTCTCTCAGCTCATCGTTTAAATTCCATAATACCATTATGTGAAGCGATGAATGGTCGAGCATTGATGGAATTATACAAAATGTGTACAAATCACAGACTTCGAGCATATTCTGTACTCAAAAATGAGCTAATATCGATGCATAAAGCAAGATTATCTATTAGTATTTACTCTCGGTTTTTAAGTCTTCTTGAAGATTTTATCAAGTTCCACGTGGTACTAGCACCATCAATGAATAATCCTGCAACGATTCTTGCTCCTATTCCATTTGTACCAGCTCCAGCTCTGAATATGCCTTACGATTTTTCAATAATAACAAATGCATCTCCTTTAGATACATTAGAAATGGTCAACTGTTTTGGTCCTCAATTACTCTTACTCGATAAACTGCGTAGACAACTAACAAATGTATCTCAATAGAAAGTATATGTAAAAAAATTGTCCTTAAATGTTGAATCTAAAGTTTTTCTTTGCAATTAAAAGAGTTTGATACATCATAGAGCAAAAAAAAAGAAAAGAAGGTTACATAAAAAGAGAAAAAGAAGATTTTGTCATACAACATACAATCAAAATGGTGAAAACAAGCAAGGATTGTTCTATAATAAATGAATTATTCAAATAACGAATTAGCAAAAAAAAAGAAAAGATATATATCATAAAGACTAACATTTGACAGTCCATTTGCGTAGACAACAATCATTACCACCGGTTAGTAATGTATCATTATCTAACCAAGTTAAACATGTAACCGGATTAAGTGGATGAGCACCTGAAAAAAGAAAAATTACATGTAAATATTAAAGAAATCCCATTTAATTTTTACCTTTAACTTGTGTCACTTTTGTAATATTTTCAGTTTGATAAATCATTAAATGTGTATCAATAGCAACTGATGCTAATTTTTTTCCATCAGGACTAAATGCAAGATCAGTTACTGTTGCTGCATGATAACGCCACATATCACGACTCATCGGCTCAAAATTTGGTAATTGATAACATGTTATATTTTTCATATTATCAGCACTAGCAAAAAATCGTCCATCAGGTGAATAAGCAACACGAACAACAATATCACGTTGTTCTAATTCACGAAGACCATTTAATGCTGTACCATCAACAGTGAATATATGAGTTTTATTATCCTATATAAATGAAGAATAATTAATGGAATTACTATTTATCATTAATTACTTTTCCACCAACGGCGATTTGTGTACCTTGTGGTGAAACAGCAATTGATGTTGGTTCAAATGGTAATGGATGCGTTATAAGAACACCTTGTTGTTCGCGATACATACATACGGCTGAACCACATACAATAAAAATAATATTTGAATCATTTATAGCTATACCACGTGGTTGACCAGCTAATTTTTCCATTCGACTAAAGTCAATTTGTAAATATAGTAACTATAAAATTTGATCATACAGATTTAATTTCGATTTTTTCTCGCATCGTAACCAGTATAAAGCAACCAAATAATGATTTGAATAGAAAAATTTGTTTCCAACAAAGATTTGAGAGAAAAATGAAATCTTCATCATACCCCAAACTGTATTGTCTCTAGAAAACTTCAAACTCTATTTTTTTATCATTCTGAATTCCAAAATGCAAATTTCTTTTGATTACACAGGGTGATAGAGCAACTGATTCTCTAAAAAATGAAATATTTCCGAATTCTTCACGACATCTTTTTAGACATTTCCTATGGAAAAAAAGAGAATAAAAACTTTTATGCTTTGCTTGAAATTGATGTAGTTCAATCAATAAATAGTGGTAGAGAGTTCTTAGACACATCATTTTCGAGAGAATTAGTTGTTTTATCACCCTGTGTTCTCAAAAGAAACTTTTATTTTGTGATGCTGAGTAGAGTTTATGAGGTCGAAGTCCGAGCATATTCTAGTCGTTTGAGAAATGTGTAAGGCTCACTGGTCACCGAATACAAAAAAATTAGAAAAAGAATGTCTCTTATCTTCGGGGCAACTATACAATTCCGATTAATAAATTCAGTGAAAGTTATACAAGTCTAATTTTGGGTGCTGAAAAGTCAGATTTTCGATTTTCTAGAGACTCTTGCTTTTAGAGATACAGTGGAGATTTTATTTCCCTCAAGCCTTTTATTGAAAACATATTTCTCTATCCAAATCACTATTTGAATTCTTTATATCAGCTAACATTCGGGAAAAAAATCGAAATTAAATCTACACCATCAATATTTGGAGTCAATGTAATTTTAATATAAAACAAAAAGAACAAGAATTTATTTACTCATATGATTCCCATGACGAATTTAATAAACGAAGTGTATCATCAAGACCAATTGAAGCTACTAAACCACGTGAATTACTTGCTAATGATTGTACTTGATTCGTATGACAATCACCAGTAATATTATTCATTTCTTTTCCATCTATACTCCAACGAACAACAAGTCCATCATGACTAGCACTAAAAATTCTTGTGCCTTGACTTTCATTACGAGCTACAGTTAAAGCAGTGATACTTTTATTATGACCCTAGAAAAATTATTCCCTAGTAAAATAAATAATTTACGAATAAATTTTTACTCGAATAATACGAGATGGTTTATTTCCATCTCGATCAAGATATGTTATTTGACCCGAAAGTGAAACTGAAAGAATATGATTTCCAGACCATAGACAACCAATTTGTTGATCTTTTAAATCAGTACCAAATGTATATGTTCTTAAATGAATAGCAAAAATTAATAAACAAAAAAGAAGTATTTTGACATTTTTTTTAAATATATATCAACTAACTGAATAGCTGAACCAGTTGTAATATCCCAAATTTTTGCTGTTTTATCACCTGATGCAGTTAAAATAAAACGACTTGTTGAATCCCAACATAAACCATAAATTGAGCCAGTATGAGCTGTAGGTGAGCCTAATTCCGATAAACGTTCACCTGTTTTTCCATCATATAAAATCACCTAATACACAAAAAATTTAACTTTGAGTAAACAAAAAAAAGACAGTTCACATATAAACACATACACGTCCATCAGCAGCACCTGATGCAAATTTTTCTCCATCAGGTGAATAACGAACAACATGAACAAATTTTTCATGATCAGACATTGTTGTTTTCCATTTAAATGGTGGTCCTTCAAAAAATGATACAGCATTATCTTCACTACCAGTTATGGCACGAAATGGACGAGTTGGTTTAAAATCAACTGAGTTTATTGCTTTTGTCATTCCAGATATTTCACCAACAGAATTACCAGCATCAGCAGAAAATACATGACCAAATCTTGAAATATTTTTTTAAAAATATATAACAAAGTGTTTTTGTTTTAGTATGGTTAAAATTTTTACTTTTCTTTTCCTTCGCCTCCAACTATAATACGCTGATTATCACTTGTCCAAGCTAAATCTTTTATACAACCAGAAAATGGTTGAAATTCATTTTTTAATATATGTTCTTTATTATCAGCACCCCATATACGAACTTTACCATGACCATCTAAAAGAAAATTTAATTAAACTAATTATGTAATTAATATGATTATACCAGCTGAAGCAATATATGATCCACTAGGTGAATATTTAGCACATTGTACAGCTGTTGAATGTTCTGTGTAGACTTCACATTGTGATGGATCCTATTTGAAATAATTTCCTATGAAAACATTTGTCAATTCAGCCACATAAAAAGCCAAAGTGTGGAATTCACTAAACTCTACTTGTTATAAATTTATGGTATATTATCACTAGTGAATGTTACTTTATGTTTATCGCTCTTTATACCTAGGAAATTTATTTTTAATGAGAAGTTAATTCCGAATTTTTGCCAAGTAGCTCATAAAAATTTATGATGCCATAGATACGAATAAAATACACAGAAAAGTTTTTTTTTGCATTCATTTTTTTAATAATGTCACATATCAAAGTGATGTTCGTGATAAGAATATTGATTAATATACTCTGTTATTATATTAGGTATTTGTCTATTTACCTGTCACCCTATGTCGCACGCTTGTTCGCACAGCCGGCGATAATGCTTAGAACTTTTGATACCAGCTATGAACGATTACAGAGAATATTTTCTACTCAAATTTGAATCTTTGCTCTTAGAAAGAACTCAAATTAACCCAAAGGAAATCATTTAAGAATATATATTATTAACAAATATATTTTGCAACGCTTTCTATAATAATAGTTTGTCTCATGACTGGAATTGATCTGAGCTCTGTGATTAGTACAGACAGCTCAGAAGAATCAACGTGAATGGAGTGCATTGACAAACAACTAAATTCTGTTAGTTTTAACAGTCTTCAAAACGATTCATCCGTTTTAATACAACACTTTCAAAGAAGAATCACCAGTACGACGGACTTTGTACTGATCTATATACCAGTAGTAGTTATCATATGGAACAGAAAGAAACCTTTCTTTACTCTTTCTTTTATCTTTACTTTATAAATATAAAGATTGTACTCATATTTACCTTATAAAATAAATAGAAAGTAACACTTGTAAAGGTCAAACGGTTAAAATAATTTCTCCAAAAAAAAAATGCTAAACAAATTAATAAATCACAACTATAACAATTTTAATAGTTAATATACACGCTGCGAAACTTATTCATTTCGAAATTGTTTGTAATTAGAATTACTATTTTACTAACTTATTATATTTATTTAACATCGTTATATTGAACCAAACTTATTTTTGTATTGGCAGATACATCGTCATTACATAACTTCTTTTCTTCTAATGATCATATATGTGATACATGTAACAGGAAGTGGCAAATGTTATTTTATTCTTTGTTTCAATTACTATATTAGCCTACCATCCACATTGATTTAATCGTTCAGTAAGCTTTTGAGCACATGATCCTTTATCTGAACAAACATTAACATTCATTTTTGAGTTTTACCTAGACTTAGAATTCAATTAGTTCATACTTTTCTGTGTCCCTTCTATTCTAACTCTGATAGATCAATAATATTACCGTTTTACTAAATGACACTTACAATAAAGTTCTTTTGCTACATAAAATACTAAAACGCGAACAGTTAGACTAGTTAGCATCTTCGTGGCACGTTTTCTTCCGTCACTATGAAAACACAGCCAACGGTGATTGACTTAGCCTCTGCCTACTAGGTAAAAGTACTGTATGATCTTTGGCTTTTTTCCTACCACTTCCACAGTTGCTAAAGACTGAAGGAGAGCCGTCAAAATTTTGATTCTAACTACTATTTTCTTCGAAAACATATACGAGTTCCAAGAAATAAACAAACAGAAAAAGAAATTTAAACGAACTTCAATATTACGAATGAAAACACTATTGCCATTTGTATATAAAAATGTTTTTCCTTTTGGATCAGCACCTAATACAATTGGTTGACCACGAGTCGTACGTGGTAATGAAGCAAAGACTGATGCTAGAATAAAATAATATGGAATTAATTTTGTTCTCAAAAAACAAAAGAAAATGAAAGCAATAGACAAATTTTTTTTTTTGTAGCTTCTCAAAACAATATTTAAAGAAGACTTACCTAGTGTGCAGCTCATTGCTTGGCTATACGAAAGAAAAATTAATCTAAAAATATTTTTTTTTATATATTGAAATTTTCATCAAGTTTTTTTCAAGACTTTAAATCCCATTCTATAGATTAAAAATGAAAGATTAATTAAAAACAAGAAAAACAAGAGAAGACAAGAAACACTTTTCAATAATTAATTTCGTTTTTTATAAAAATGTTTAAGTTCATCTGATGTCTTTAATTAATCTTTCATTTTAAATAAGAATATAATCGATTTACCGAAATTAACAAAAAAATCTCTGTAAAACAAAACATCCATACTTCTGTCAATGTGTTTATGTCACGAAAAAAAATTATATAAAATAAATAAATCATTAAAACACACACACACACACACACACACTTTTCATCACCAACCAACCCATGAAAAAATATCTATATGCATGTATACATATATGTATGTTAGTATCTAAATTGAGATTGCATCGAAATTCGAAGTCGAAATTCGATGTAATTTATATTTGAATACTAGCGTGTATATTTTTTTTAATCTTTTCTTATTTGTATTTAAAACCAAGAAAAGAGTGGATAACGATCATTAAATTTCTGTTTAAATTGTTTAGGTCCAGATGCAGTACCATGAGCACCACCAGTAAGTCGTTCAACAATAACACCAGGCATTTGAACTAATTGAAATGGTGATTTACCATCACGCATAGCTTGGGCTAAATTTAGAATCTAAAATCATGAAAAGGAAAAAAAACTTGTTTTAAATTTTGAAAAAAACATTATATATATAATTTACTTGTCCACGCATCACAGATAATTGTCGTTCAACTACACGACGATCGTAATTTTTATCTTGAGAAAATAAACGTTGAATTTCATCACATAATTCATGTTGAACAAAGTTCATATCAGATAATAATGGTAATACAAGAGACTTGATTTCATCGGAAAATGGAGTTTTAGCTTGTGGTAACCAAGCCCAATGGAATGGATATGTACGCCATTCATCTGGATGCTTAAAAGGAAAAGCAAGGCCATTATCAATAGCTGCTATACGAATGTCAACTGTTGTTTGTGCACTTGTCGTTTCATCAGTAGTAATCGTTGCTGGAACATTATTTATATGATCGCCTTCGCCATCACTTTCATTCTAGATGAAAAAATAAATGAATTATCTGTTATTGTTTTTAGTTAATATGTAATGTAATAAGTTACAATTGATTAAATATATATATATATATAAGTTAAGTGTACTCTATTACCTGTTGGTCTGTTTGTAATTGCGGGCTGGAAAGCGCATGAAGGAGCTGAAGCGATACAGAAAAAGAAAATACAACAACAGAAATATAAAAAAAACAGATATTTCTGTCTATTTTCATTTATCAAGCATGTGTACAAACGATGACAGCTGTCTTCCCACCTACCATATCACGTTCGTTGTCTTTTTTGACTTCGTATTTAACCAACCAATTGCCATTATTGCGGTCTACATATTAATAGAAATAAATAAACAACAAATAACATATAGGAAAAAACAATTTTTTTTTCCTCGATTATATTTTTATTCACTACACAATTATTCCAGTTCAATCGAAATAAAAAAAAAGGAAATAAAGCAATCTCTTATTCTTCATTTTATAATATTGTTCTTTAAACAATAATTATATTTACATAGGATTAAAAATCAATAGTCAATATTGTCGAATAGTGAAACAAAGATTCATTAACCTAATTTAGTATCAGAACGAAAAGTTTTTTTTCTTTTTTGTTTTACTTACCAGTATTACGAATAATATAATCTAATACAACAAGTCTTTCAAATTGTCGTTGAAATTGAATAGATGCACTTTGTAATAATGGATCATGTTCTAATTGTTTAAGAAAAACATCTGCATCAACATAATTTTCAACAAATAATTGAAATGATCCAACCTTTTTTTTGTTAACAAAATGAATCAATATTAAATTAATGAAAAATAAACTTTTTTCTTATATACTTTAGGATGTAATCCTTTTAGTTGAAAGACTCTTCTACCATGCATATGTCGACCAACACTTTCATTTATTTCACGTTTAGCTGTCATCAAATGACGTTGATATGCTGGATAATTAAATGAATCAGCAGCTAAACGAACAACTCGTGTTTTCGGTACGATATTAAGGTGAAGTTTTGCATCAATAATACTAGCACCAGCTTCAGAAAGATAGCCTTGATTAGGTACAAGACATCCACGACCAAAACAACATGGACAGAGAGTTTTATGTAACCTAAAAGAAAATATTTATCTTATTAGAAGAAAATAAATTTTCATCCAAAACAAATAAACCATTTAGTCCATTTTGGATTAAATCGACCATAAGGTTCTTCATCTTTTGGTTTGAATACTCCAATAGTTTTCTATTTAATAAATAGAAGTTATGTTTTTTTTTATTTCTTACTATGAAACCAAAAGAAAAAAAACAATGATGACATACTACTTCAAGATTCCGAACAAAATATGAACCAGATGAACCGGCAGCTATTCGTGCTGGTAATATTCCACCTTCAATAGCTCTTTCCGCTTGTCTGATAACATCAGCATATTCAGGATCATCTGTTATATTTGTGTTCCATGGTGGTAAATGAGGATTATCTACTATATCCATATGAGGACTTGTTGGTGTTGATGGAAGTAAAAGTGGTTGATTTTCACTAGTTACAATGCAAACGTCTGGTAATGTATAACTGTTCACATTAATCACTGGATGTTCACCAGTGTTAGAATTCATCCTAATCAATATGAATAATAAGCATAAATATTTATTGAATAAATAAAAATTTAAAAATAAGAAAAGAAAAAACTTTTTTTCAAATAGCAGCATAGCAAGAAAACTACCTGGTTAGTAATATTTGATTTTTAAACAGTTCCTATATATGAAATTAGGTTTTATTATTATGATTTACTTTTTTTTATTTGATGACATAGCATTTTTAGAAAAAAAAAAGAGGTAAAAGGAAACATGCACTCACTCTCTTACTGCATCTATTGTCCATGACTTGGATTATCAGGAACGATATTTAATCTAGGACTAACTCGATTTCTATTGCTCCTCACTTTCTCGATTGGTCAAATGCTTGTAGAAAAATATGATTGAAAAGTGAATAGATGATGAGCTGAGCTGATGTGGAAACATGTGAATCATTCTAATCTGTTTTTCATTAATGTTCCAATTGAATTATTTGAAAAAAATTTTTGAAATTTAATAATATAAATAATATTTTTCTATAAGTATTGAATTGAGATTCTAAATAAAGAAGAAAAAAAGCGTTTTTAGTACTTTAAATAAAAATAATTGATAGATGTCACTATCGATCTGAGTAATATTATCACAACAAAATGATATTTCCTTAAAAGGCAATAACTATGATCATTTACAATATTCGATAGATTATAAAGCAATGATTTATTGCGAAATATGATGACTGTTTATCGACATTATCAGCGGTGGCTTGACTGGGGGTATCTGGAATCGAACACTTTTCCGGCCTTCTACAATACTAGAAAATTTTTATTTTCTCCACTAAAGTTAAAATCCTCTTTTTGCATTCTGTTGTAAACAAGCTATTTTTCTCTGCAAAAAATTGTAATGCTTGCTAATGTTAACTGCTTCCAACTACCACTGTCGTTGGTACTTATTCATTCTTCATTTTTAGCACTAAATAACAATATAAGTCATTAGTTGAATAAGTGTATATTTGAAAATAAGTAAGCATGACTTTTTCTGTTTTTCTTTATACCAGAATTAATTAGTTTGTATTTCTCATGTGAATAAATAGTTAATGAATCTAATTCCATTAGTTTTTAGTTATGTATTTCTTATATTAGTAAATATACCTGTTGATCTGTGAATAAGAAAAATTAATAAAACAAAAAATATTTCAATAAAATTAAATGTTTTCTTGTTTTTATTTTTTTTAATAACTTTGTAAGAAACACGTAGTTGTTTGTACAGATATTCAAAAAATGGTAAGTATATTTGATGTTCAAAGTACTCTTTAAAGCTATGAGTTCTTTTTAAATGTAAGTATATAATTGTTAATAATTTCTTTTACATAACGTCTCGTATGTTGTTTTCTCAATATGTATGATGATCAAAACAAAGAAAAGGTAATATTCTGACAAAAACAAGCTTCAAGTATTCTTGAAAGTTTTTCAACTATCTGTGAATAACCTGTAAATATTGAAGAGACTGGAACAATTTGATGTCAATACAAAGATTAAAGTTAAGAACATTATTGATGTTTTTGTTCAGGTGATCTTTCAGAGAAGAGCATATTTAGGACTACATCCGTTGCAATACAGGAAATTACATTGAACGAATAATCGCAGATGATTTAGTAATGACATTCATTTAACTTTACATTTTTTAATCTTAACAATTTCCGTCCGCTTGTTTCTTTTATTTTGTTTCTTAATTTCTTTTTCCGAAGATCTATTCATGTCGAAAAAAATCAAGAGAAAAAGAAAAGCAAATTTAGATAGGCAATATTATTATAGAGACTTCAGGGAGACATATGAATCTTATGATTGTTTAAAGTATCAGATTATTTCGAGTCCTTTGATAATGCAACTTACACTATACATATATCAGAATCAATAAGAGCATATCTGTATATATTTATTCATTAAAAATGCTACTGTAATTGATGTAAACATTATATTGATCAGATTTTCATGTCTTTTTTTGGTTAAGTCATTCCGCAAAGACATTTGTAGAAAGATCACATAAGTTGTTTAGTATCAATTATTGCTTATATCTGTCAGGAATATCCTATAATAGGTGAGAATCATTTTATTCCCAGTGAAATTTTCTTATTTTTTTGAGGTACCCAAGATTGAAATTTGTATTACATGTATATATCTAACCAATGGGTTTTCATTCTTTTTTACAGTATTAACTATCCAACTAGAAATACTGCTGAATTGTATGAAATTTCAGACATTAGTTATAGTAATATTTTTTGCTAGTTATTCAAGTACGATAGTGTGATTAAGAAATGTAGAATATCTTAGTTCAAAATTCGAGTAGATTATGAATAGAATCTTTCTAAAGTCGATTTCAGGATGACTCCTGAAATCAATAGTGCTCATCAAATTCTACTTAGAATTGATTTTGAAATGAATCCATTTACGACTTACTCGAATTCGAACCTAAGATATCTAACATGACTATGGATTATTTTAAGAGTATAGAAACGTATTTATGTTTAGAATTTTTCAGATTTAATGACAAGTTATATTTTTAATACTCCTTAGTAACGACAATAAAATATTTTTTTTTTTATTTTTTGTATTGAATTTCAAATGTTCCAATACAACATGAAGCGTTGATTGCATGCTTTATGATTCAATTATTTGATAAACGTATAACACCAGTTGATAGATGAAATGAAATTTGTTCACACGTATGGAGGTATGAAAATGTGTAAAGTAGATTGAGAGAAAAAGTTGATGAGAAAATGTTTGATACATCATTGCAAACAGAAAAAAGCTAACTTTAAATATCGTAGACAATTTCCCTAAAGAAAAAGTGTGAAAAAGTCATGGATGAATTAGCTTATCAATTGCAGTTAATTATAAAGGATCGTACCGAGTACATTTATATGCATTGAATTTTATTATCAGTCTCATACTTTTTTTTTGAAAAATATTGTTTAGTAAAGTTGATTTTTACAAATATCAAAATAAGAAATTCAAGTATGTCAACAACAATTTTAACTACAAAGCTGATAATATGGAGCATTGATAATATTGATTAGATACATATATACATATGCAGAATGGACCATAAATAGTACTACAATAAAAGAAAATAAAATATCTTCTCCTCAAGTCAATAACATAGGCTGATTCTTTGGTCGATGTTAGAAGATTATTCGGTTATTCTATTTTATACGAATAAGGTAAGCAAGTATTTCCATAAATAATGATTATTGGTATCATGAAAGTAATTTACCATATCATCAATTAAGAAATATATATATAGGTCACGTCTCATAGATAATTTTTCGTTGCCAACTAGAAGATCAAAAGGATGAAGTCAAAATGAACTTTATGAATGATACTCTATATATATATATATATATATATCACACGTAGAGTAAATTTTTAGAACTAGTTAATTTAAAAGTTAATGCATACAAAATTTCGAATTGTAAAACATGAGAACACCAGTTTTTGCAAGGAAACTGGTTTTTTTAGTGCTTGGAGGGTTGCATTTGGGTGTTTCATTTATTTCAATAGTTAAACTGACTAGTTTTGAAATCTTACTCCGTACACATCACTAATTTCTATTATGCTTCTTCTTCTTATCTTCTATGGCAGATGAAAATTTTGTATGAAATGCTTCATTTATGTTTTTCTCATTTGACAATAGGTGAAATGTCTTTAGTGAGATCACAAATATAACTTGACAGCAGTAGTTGTTTACATTCTTTGCATGAAAGAAACAAAGTTCAAATAAATTTCTAGAACTAAGCAAAAACTCAATTCATTCAAATGAACCGAAGTGGAAATATTTCAATTTTTTATCTTAATGCTATTTATGATTGATCTTCTTTATGTAATAAAATATTTTAGTCTTCTATGTCATGAAAAACTTTGAAAAAAATGTATACTAACAATTTATTCTCAATTATTCCTCATGCATGTCTTCGTTCAATGGTATTCTTGTGTAGTTGCGTTCAATATACAAAGTAATATATTATTTACAATACTAAACAAAAGAATCTTTTTTTTATGATTTGATTAGCTGATTAATATTTGGAAAGAAACACTATATATGATTAAAATGAAAATCTACCTAGAGGATAGCTCTGTTATAAACATATAATGAAATACCATATTCACACTAATAATTTATAGATACTACGCCGTAAATTTATACTGGATTCTTTTTGAATATAATGCGTGAAATTTCTTTAATGTAAAGTCATGCTATATTAAAAACAAAAAATTACTCGCAGTCTTTCATTAGACACTTAATAAACCCGTGGTGACAAAAAATATATTATTACAAAGATCTTTTTATAATATAAATATACATGAAACGAATGCATCTAATTAATTTTGTCACCATTCATATCTACAGAAAAACAAACAAATGAAACGAACATTGTGTTCAAAGCATTAGTCTCTTTTTCTTTTCTCTTTTGTTTCTATCTGTATTTCAGTAATAATTAATGATTGAAACACTATAAACAAGTTATGACATACTTATCCTTTATTTTATCTCTTTTGGAAAACATATGACTTTCATTTTTATTCTATGTAGTTAGCATTTTTTTATTTTAATGTTACATAACTAATGTTAAATAGCTTTATATTCTCGGAAAACATTGCTTAAAACATTCAAATTTATCATATCTTCATCGTTGAGAATATTTTTATTTTTACCTTAAATAAGAGAATAAGAACATATTAAATACTCATGTTTTTTATAAGCTCTCATCTGAACCATTATCAATATCATAAAACACTTCGCCTAGCACTTGACCACATTAGTCAAATAGTTCAAGTAGATCTAATCGTGATTCAAGTATAGCCATAAAAAGAACAGAGCAGCAGATGATTAGGTCATTTCGTTTTTACTCTTTAGCTTTTATATTGCAATATTTAGAAAAATCTAATGAATGTTGTCATAGTCAATATGGAGGTTTTCCTGTTTGTTCAATTACATTATTAACAGCTGATAAATTGCTCGCTCCAAGTCATACAAATTTTTCAGTA